GGGGGGGGGGGGGGGGGGGGGGGGGGGGGGGGGGGGGGGGGGGGGGGGGGGGGGGGGGGGGGGGGGGGGGGGGGGGGGGGGGACTCTGCCCCCTCGAAAAAAAAATGCACTGCTGTTCAGCTTGGGAGGAGGGTGGGAGCACCGCAGATTTCTGTTGTCATCGGGGTATTGCACCATCATGTTTCTTACTGGGGCGTTTATTACGTTGTGGCCGAGATCGAGCTATGTTTCTTAAGCCCTTTTTTCTTATTTTTCGTACAAACTTGAGCCTTTTTTCAATAGAATTTTTCTTGACTTCGAGCTCTATCTGTATTTGTACGCGAAGGGAAAGGGTGGCAAGTACCGTGAGACGCAGTTTATTCTTTCGAAAACCGTTCAATCGTTTATTCATGAAACTCAACAGAGCCGTAGAGCCAAGCCGCGGGGGGAGGTTCAGGGAACTTTTCGCGATATGTGGAAGGAAAAGCCATCAGGGTAGCTTTTGGTCTCCGCCGGGACAGTGATATGTACTGGTGTCCCTCGGTGCGACGCTGAAATACGCTCGTTTTTTTTTTCACAAGAATGAGATAAATATATGTCTACTTGGACTTTCTTTCTTCTTCCGCAGCCGGCTATGCAGTACATTACTTGGCCAAGTACAAACTGGTGCACTGTAGTTGTTTTCAACACGTCCCCGACTGCTGTACATCTCATTTGAAGTTTTGTAAATATGTTCGACGTCAACTAACGGTTGCCAGTCGTCTCGGCGATGCTGACTTTTCGTACCACCCCCTTCCTTAGCAAAAAACGCGTAGTTTGAGGTATAGCATGCCTCCATTGGGCCCGGGGATGGTGAGCTATCGTCCCCTGAATTTTCTTTCAAGCGGGGTCGACTGTACAAAAGCTGTGGCAACAGGAACGAATCGAAAAGATTTCCCGGAAAGAAGAATCGGAGAGATAACAGAGTCGTACACAAGAGAGAGAAAGGGAGAGAGAGAAGGAGGGAGAAGGAGAGAGAAAGAGAGAGAAAGAGAGACAGACAGACAGACATACAGAGAGAGGAAACAGTAACAGGGCAAGAGGTAATCAAAAGCCGAGAAGGTGTGTGTGTGGAACGAAAGTCGAAGGGAGAAAAGGGTCAAAACGATGATTGTGAGAGGGCCGGAACATTCGGAAAATGCTGATCGGTGAGAGAAAATGCTGCTCTATGAGAGCCCGAGAAATCGGAATGCTGAGCTCTCAGGCGTCCACGCGGAAAATGAATCGAACGCTTCTAGAGAAAACGAAACTGATATAACTGTTACATGTATACGCTGCTGCTGTATCCATCCACGAGGACGAGGATTCAAGGTTTACATGTGTCCATAGTTGCTGCCACTCTTTTACGTCCTGTTTCTAGGTATGTCCATTACTCTTAAACAGTTTTTCTGTAACGGAAACATTTTTAGCGGAGCGCGATTATCCATTGATTTATTGAAGGAGACATGGGAGTTGACAGGCCCGACAACCATATACACATTTAAACTGTGGCCCACGGGCGGGTTATTCCTGCTACCGAAACGCAAAATGGTGAAAGGTCGCTCGAACATTTTGGTTTGCAGCATTCCACGGCCTGAACCACTAGAATACCATAAGTTATATGTGTGCTGGCCAATCGTTGTCCATCATTTTATGTCGCCAACCCCCCCCCGTGGGTGCCTTGTCGTTTTCGGTGTAGAAAAACACATACCCCGGTTGTTTCGTTCGTTACGAAAAATGCGAAAGAGATGGAATTACAGCACGCACACCCGAGATAGCCTTCTAAGGGGATGCGTTGAACTTGGCAGCAGTGAACGTTGTATCTTAGATATGCATACGACGTATGACATGGTTAACTCGAAAACGCGGGTCAATACATGCTTGTGTGTGTTAGGATTTCTTCGGCAGATGTCTATTTATTGCGCCCGATGGGCGATGGACAAATCCAACAGCTCACGAACAACACGTGCAACCAGTCAGGCACGGTGTTTTGATAAGCAGTTACCACCGCTGGCATTCCACACCCGCCTCAATGTCCGTACGCTGTTTCCGAAAAGCTCCACCCACAGATACAGCATGCACTCCCACGGGTTATACCACCGCCAACGCACGCAGGAATAAAAGTCACCAGCAAACTGACCCCTTGCTTGCCTGGGGGCAGGTGCGAGATCTGAGCCTGCAAATGTCAAAGGGGAGGTGGGACACCGTGGGGTGGGGAAACGGACCTGGTGACGGATCCAGCGGCGAGTACACCCCCGGTAAGGAAACAAGTATTATAGTTGAAGGACTTTGTACGAACCCCCTGACCTTGCACGAACCCCAGGCCGCTTCGCGCGGTATATTTTAGCCGACTTACTGCTTGTCACAGCATGGCAAGCGTCTTCGGTTGGCAAACGGAGGCTTCCTCCGACAATATGTTGGCCCATCTTTACCCATTCCTTCATGTGATTGAGCGGGCAGTACGTTCGGGGCGCCCGCTCACTTTCTCGAAGGTTCATGCAGCAGGTGTGATTTTCGAAATGTAGTATTTGGACGTAAGCAGTTCACCCTATCCAGTCATGCACGCTCACGCATTTTTCTTGCGTACAGTAGAGCACACTAGCATTGTCGCTCCAATTACGGTCATGTGCTGTTGTAATCTTCGCGCTGAATTACTCGGGCATCGGCTCCTTGCTTCCGAAGTGGTATTAGTTACCGATGCGTTCCTGTTGATGTAGCACCGGTAGACGCCGCAAAAAATCGCGTTGACGCTCTATCTACGTACCTCGGTTGTAGTCTATGCCGTTGTACCTCACGCCGGCTGGAACCAATTATCACGATATTCACCACAACGAGTCCGTGTACATGTCTCTCCTCAACCTGTCTTCGACCATATGTCACAAAGGCGACATCTTGTGGTGTGTGCCTCTCACTAGTAGGCCATGCTGGATGGGTTGCATCTTGCAGGTGGCGCAGAGATGTGGGCGAGGCTCCCGGCCAACGGTGCGTGGGAGAGCTGGGTCGGGCTCCGGCGAAGCTTGTCCGGCCTTTACTGCTCCTCGCTTGACGGCATGGACGAAACTAGGTGAGATATGATAGCTTTACGACAGCGGGGGCAATCTTTGTTATGGTTCATCATCCTCGCTTGGTGGCGTGGACGGTTTCCTTGCGTATAGCGTAGTGACGTCGGCCGGTCGATTCGAAGCAGAGACTCGATTGAAAGGGTGGGGAGCACTGCTGTGCTGTTTGCTTCTTTTTTTTTTCCCTGTGGAGGAAGCTTTCCGGTGGGGCGAGGACGGTTTCTTGGCGTTAGGGTCGTTTTTGTGTAGCGGTCGTGCTCTTTCTGGAACACGCTTCTCGGCTGTGGCTTGGGATGATGAAGGTAAAACAAAGTTGACCGAAGCGGAATGTGCGGGAAAATGATATCGTTTTTCCACCACGTACTCGGGCCACTGCGTTGTGTATCATGCTCACGTACGTCAACCTCTGTTGACCCACTGCGGTGCGGGCGTCATGCTCGGCGCAGCGTTTCCAACCCTCGAGTAGCACGCCCTAGCAACGAAATTGCGTTCATTGTGCACTCGGGCAAGCCTTGAAGTCACTTGTGGGGGACAGTGTCGGGCCACTGTTCTGGTGTTGTGGAAAGGGATGCGGGGGGCGCGATGAGGAAGGCCCGTGCAGGTTTCGTGTAGTTTAGCTTGAATGTCTGCGGACGTTGCCCTGGAAGGGCTCTAGAGCGTATCTGTTGCACTTCTACAAAGATTGCAATTTTCTTTGAGGTGCCCAGAAGAACACGCTGCTGCTGTGCCGTTCTGAGCGCTTGGCTTCGCAATGCTTGTGCGACGTTTGGTCCGGCCACGAAACCCACCCACCCACTTCCGGCAAACTGCAGGGTGCACACGCCGTTGAAGATGGCCATGCCCGGGGAGGTTTGTTACGCCACCAACGGCACGACCGTACTGAGGGGAACGTTGCCACGGGAGCCGATTTGCACAGAGAATCTGATACCTCTGATCAAGATGCTCCCATGTCGATCAAAGGTGTGCGGGCGTTGAGCTCCTTTCCATGGAAGTGTTTTCTCAGTGTTTTCTCAGGAGTTGGCGAAAAAATCATGCGGTAAATCGATCGGCGACGACGTTCGTTTTTGTACGGATGCCTTGGCATCATGAAGATGTCATGATTATCGGTGCGTAGCACCTGTCGCCCGGGTGGCTGGTAGCTCTTTTGACTCTATTGGTTACGAGAAGATTCTTGCTGGAATTCGTGATTCCCGATGTAGATGTTGAAGCGCACAGTCGAGAGCAACCACCTAACGAATTACGTAACGAATGAGCCCTTCTGGCATGAACATATGCGGGCAATCACCCCAGGGAAAGTTGTGGAGAATAGCACAAAACTGTAGTCTTTACTTTCCTTCTGTGCGACCTATGCTGGTGCGTCAAACAGACCGGCGCCCAACGCAGATGAGACGACGAAACACACGCCACTATTACAGTAGTGTGTCCCCCGTGTTCACGTTGTTGCTCAATTCTGCTGTTCTCGGTAGGAAGAGCCGCCTGCTTGGTCGGACACTTGACCCGGTGTGCCTTCGCGAAGAGGCACACTTCCCTTCGTGTCTCGATCCCTTTGACTGACGTTTCCTGCTGCTACGCCTTGTGCAGCCCGTGAGAATGGTGGGGTAGGCTGTGCCAATTACGGAAGCGTCGTTCTGTCAGCCATCACCTTACCAATCGCCTGTTCTCACCTCCGCCGACTGTTGGCTGTATTCGATGAACCTCGCAGATCGGACTCGGCAGTCTACTCCACCCCACCCGTCTGTTCCAATCAGACTACCACTCCATATCTGTGAAGGCATCGGCTACATTCTCCGACCGCACCGACAACCACAACCACCCGGGGTCACCAGACGACACCGCTGGTGCTGCCGACACAGGCGGTGGCGCCGTGATCACATCCTTAACCCTTGAGCAGACAGTTCTGGCGGTCTTCCGCCCGCGGCCGCACCTTCCCTCGGCGGCTTCTACCGTACCGTCGCGAGGACTCGGTAGCACTAGCACCAGGAGCAGCAGCAGCAGCAGCAGCGCCGCTGACCATGCTGGAAAGGGCGGCGACGGCACCGAGGCGAAAGCCATCTCGAAGGGAGAGGACTGGTCGATATCATCCCTGCTTCTTCCGCCCAAGTTGGCCTCGTCTCAGGCGGTCCGACTGGAAGGGTGCCCCGTCGCCAGCCGCAGCGCTATCCACGTCGTCGGGGAGCTTGTCTCCTTCAGCGACGATGCCTCTCCTGCCACCCCTGGCTGCGCGATTTCTGGCTCGGACTGCGATGCGGGGCCGTCGGAGGCGGCTACGGACCCAGGCGTTGACGCCGAGACGCCCGTCAACGTGATTTCCAGGGTGTTGCCGTCGCCTGTAGCCGCCGGAGGCAAGAAGAGTAAGTCGAGGTCTTCGTCCATGACGGAGTTCTTGCAGAGAAAGCTCTGGGACCTTGCCACGGGATCCGACGGACAAGGGTCGGCGGACCCCTATACAATGACCGGCGATGGCGCCGCAAAGGCGGATGCTGCTGTCGCTGCTGCTGGTTCGTATTCCGCGCCGCCGGTGGCCCGGCTCGACCACTATCTTTCCGGGCGCGGGGGAACTCGCGGCGTCTCAGTCTCGCACCTCGTTAACATGCACCCGACGTCGGGCGCGTTCGCAGAGTTCGTCCAGCCCGTCCCGTTCTTCATGGTGCCGATGCTGGGAACGCTGCGGGCTCGATTGGTCTCCCCTTGCTCTTCCTCTCGCCTGGGAGACTCTGGTGCAGCTCATCATCCCGGCACTTCCACTGAAGGAGAGGTCTCTGCGCCGACGCTCGGCGGTGGCGCTTCGGCCATCGGCGGTGAGCGGTGCATCGGTGGCGACGACCGGGGGCTGGGTCCGCTCTTGGACCTCGCGCAAAACATCACGCTCACCCCGGGGGAAGGTCGCAGGCCGGCGGTTGTCGAAGTTCGGGCAAGGGTCCCGCCGGCTTCGACCCTGGTCCTGGAGTTCGACTTCTTCAAGCGCTTCTTGACAGTGGAAGACTTCCCCCCGGACCCGAGCCGAGGCCTCGACGTCCCTCCCCCGCTCGCGCGGTTCTCGTTCGCCGGGAGGGAGGGCGAGGTCGGGGAGCCCGTGTGCAAGGAAGGCGAACGTGGCGGGGAGAAGCCGGGGCATGACGGAAAATGTGCTGCTGTTGGAGACGGGGGGCGTCCACTGCGTGAGCGCCGGGGACGGAGGGAAGGGGGCCGTGTTGTATACGCGTACGGGGAGGCCGGGCTGTTGGACTCCCCTCAGCCGGATTTCAGCATGCCGTTCAACGTCATAACCTTCACGAGCACCGTGATTACGTTCTTCTTGGGCACGGCTATCAATCTTCTCGTTCGGAAGAGCGCTTCCTCCCGTAGGAAAAAGAAGAGTGGAAGCGCAGATAACACTGGTGACAACGATAGTAATGGAAAATGTGGAAAAAGTGCCAGGGGGAATAAGGACGACTGTCGACGAAGGTTTCATGGATTGCTTGGTGGTGCGTTCGGGTTTTTGAAACGTGGACGGGGCCAGGGGGTGGTGGCCGGTAGAATACGCAAGGAAGTAGGTCGGGTGAAAGACGATTGATTGTGAGGTTGCTGGGAGAGGTTCGGGCGGGTGACTGTGCGTGGATCGCGTTAGTGTTGTTTTCTGTGGCTCGCGTTTCCCGGGTGACCACGATGCTTCTTCAGCATTGGGTGGTAGTTGTTGCCGGGAGCGTGTCATATCCCGTGATCTAGTTGTTGATTGTCATACGAGTACCCTGCTAAGTTTTGAAATGCAACCCGCGCCCCGAAGGCGAGGTAGTGGTGTGTGCAATTCCCATGGGTTCCGTGTAGCACGTGCGCGCAAATTCGAATTGTGAGGTCGCTGTATTCTTCCAAAAGGGCACGCCCGAAGCGCGATCGGGGTCTAGCAGGCAGTATGTGTGTTTGATGTACAGCTATGTTGCGTGTCTCGTGTGCAGAATCCCAAACCGGGAAACCGATTCCCGTTTCATTTTTTTTCCAGTGATTTACAAGCTCCCTTCTTCCCCTCGCTCCTCGACAAGCTTTTGCTTAGACATGGGTTGTAGTGAAGGGGGGGGTCTTTCTGGCGAGCAGGGCTAGACTCACCCTCAAGGGATGACCGAAACCTTCTTGCTGCTGCGCATATCCGCCGCGAGGCATGCGCGTGGTGGTGTAGTTGGGTCGGCACTGATGGGGTCAGGCGAAAAAAT